CAAGTTACTCTGTCATCGGGAATCCAGATCTGGACAGTACCATACACTACCAATTACAGAATAGAAGCAGTTGGTGCTACTGGTGGTTATGATTCATATTCAAGCTCATATCGAGGTCGAGGTGCTCGCATGATCGGTACTTTTGCATTAAGAAAAGGAGACCGCATTAAGATACTGGTTGGTCAGGAAGGAGGTATAAATACAAAATCTATATCATCTGGTGGAGGAGGGGGGAGCTTTGTCGCTAAATACGACAACACGTCATTGATTGTTGCTGGAGCTGGAGCTGGTATAGAAAACGCTAAAAACCACCATTCTAGTTCTGACGGTAGTGTGTCTATGTCTGGAAATCCTGGACATGGTGGCAGTCAATGGGCTGGTGGAATAAATGGCAATGGAGCTCCAAAGGCTGGCAGTGACAATTCTGGTAATGTCAGTCATTACATCTATCCTCCATCCTACCACATATCTTTCTATATCTTTCAGATAAGACTGATAAGACCATAGAGCATGACACGATTACAATAATGAGGTTACACTTGTGAACGCAAAACGTGCTAATATACATCAGTTAACCACTCAATATGACATTTGATTGGTTATAAAAATGTCGATATGTCCCCTTCAAACATTGTCTTGCAAACACTGTATGGTATTACTATTACGTCATTTGGAACGAGGATAAGTCAGATTGAATTCTAAAGTATTAAGTGTACGAAGTCATTGGGTTATGCTGCAATACTTACTTATTGATAAAAAAATTTGTTTAGGAGGAGGTGGAGGTGGCTTTTATTCATCTGGTCGCAGCAGCAATCAATTTGGTGGATCTATCGGTTACGGTGGAGAAGGCGGAAAAGGATTCTTACAGGGAGGTGTTGGAGGAAGATCCTATATTAATAATGTTCCTGGTGGCTTTGGAGGGGGTGGAGGTGCTTGTGGATCTGGTTGTGGAGCGGGTGGTGGTGGGGGATATTCAGGAGGGGCTTGTGGTGACAATAACAATGATTCTTCTGGAGGAGGGGGAGGGTCATATAATAGTGGATCAGATCAAAGCAATACATGCTGCTACAACAGCCAAGGTCATGGCTATGTTATCATCTCAATAGTGTAAACTGTGAAATTAACCTGTTGACATATTACTTTTAGGTGTGCTTTTCAATTTAGTTCAAACTATAATCTTTTCCTCTGTTTGCAGAGGTTGCTGTGAATGGAATATCACGCCCGTCAATTTACATATTTTTTACAGATAATTCCGATTGGATATGTAATCTTTCACCAAAAATATCCTTATGTAAATATAAGTAGAGATGAAGGTTTTTAGATTTCATTATTCTAAGCACAAACTTTTTAGAAATCGTTGACCGTCAACGTTATTGTCTTGTGAATTAGAATAGTTGCGTTTCGCGAACTGTTGTCCACTTTGCTAAATTGTGTGTAACTCGAAATAATTCAAACGGTTTTTATTGCCTTCTATATTCATAGATCTCATGCTTTTGCACGGATTGTTACGGAATAAAAGAATAAATTATCTTAAATCCTTATATTTGCTTTTATTGCTGATTTTCTACATTTACCAAGCCTTTTGACAGTATCTTTGTTGCAATCAGACAACACGACCAGATACAATGTCTTTCGCTGATTGCAAGCACTATATTATATTGTTCAATTTTTAACCACCCTTGATTACAGCCATACACAAGAATTAACTATCATAGTTTTTTCTTGCTTTTAAAAAGTACAAAGATCACTTTTAAAAATTTAAAAATCAATCGCATATTTATTGCATTGAAGTAGGTTCAGCTATTCATAAGTAGCACAGGAAATTCATGTATGCGATGTGTGATCGTCTGACACACATTAACGATTTTAATTTTAGTTTCCTCGTTCTTTTTCACTGCCGATAATAAGTATTTTTCATGAAGATATCTTTTATTTTCCTTTTTTCTCTTTCTCTTGAGGGTGCTTTTAAACATTGCTTTGTAAATGTCAACTTTTATCATTACTTTTTATATTTTTAATAATGTTCATTGTCTTTCCTTTTTCAAAAATCTGTTTACGCTGCAGCTTAAGACATATTGCATTTTGTACAATTGTAGAGAGACAGTCAGCAATTTTGAGTTTTGAGTAGAATCCGTAAAACAGAAAGACTTAAAATCCAGGTGTTTTATAAATCTTAGATAACGTTTTGCGTTGCATAACTATCTAAGTCAATTCGCGAAAAATAAAACAATATCTTTAGGTTGTAAAGTTTAAAAACAATCAACTAAATTTAGGCTATTGTCCAACATTTTTACATGTAAGCGGTTTGGAATGGTGAAGTTACTCTGTCATCGGGAATCCAGATCTGGACAGTACCATTCACTGGTAGTTATAGAATCGAAGCAGTCGGAGCTAGTGGTGGTTATGACAGCTACGCAAATTCACAGTCATATCGAGGCCGAGGGGCTCGCATGATCGGTACTTTTGCACTAAGAAAAGGAGACCGCATTAAGATACTGGTTGGTCAGGAAGGAGGTATAAATACAAAATCTATATCATCTGGTGGAGGAGGGGGAAGCTTTGTCG